AAAAGAATACTCCTGCTCTGGCTGATAGCATGCACATGACGGACAGTCTTTGCCTTGTATTGTTGGCTGAGAATAATGAAATACGACAACATTAAGAACAAACAATAGAATTAAATGTATTACCTTGGTCTGTTATATTACTGCTGTTCCCAATAGAGGCATTTAAGTTAAGACTGATAGMGACTGTCGGTGTTGGGAGCAGTACTGTTGAGGCATCTCCATGTACAGTGGCTGGCGTTGTCACCCATGATATTATGAAGATTGCATATAACACTGGAAAGGTCTGGCCAGGATTGAATGAAGAATTTATCTACATAGCAATAAAATAGGTACACACACAGAATAGACGGACGAAGGAAGCGAGGGAGGAAGGGAGGAAAGAAGGAATGAAGGAAAGTCAGATGAAAATTATGAAGCAAAGAAGAAAAGAACGAAGGAAGTAATGAAGGAATGAAGTAAGGAAAGAAAGAAAGAAGCAAAGAAGGAAGAAGGCAAAGAAACAAAAAAAGAAAGAAGGAAGGAAGGAAAGTCAGATGGAAAAGAGGAAGGAAGGAAGCAAGAGAGGAAGGAAAAAAGGAAGGAAGGAAAGAACAAATTAATTACACATTTTAATGTGTAAACAATTTTAACAGAATTACAAAATTTCTTGTTTTTCATCGTTCCTTCCCAAATCGATTYCGTGACGTTTTTTTCGCTTATTCAGTTGCTTAAAATTATAAATATTTTAGACACAAAAGGAAGAAGAACTTTAGAATAAAAGCATGTTAAAATATTGGCAATATTCATCATTTTTTCTTACATCAACGGTTGGTTTGATATTGTACCAATTCGAAACTTACCTTAACGTTATTCGTTCGGCCTCCCATTTGAATTCATACAATTTCCTGTGCCTTAGAATTCTCTAATTTTATGATAGAGAAATCTTCTAATGATTGAAACTTTGTCTAATAATTKTCTCAGTTGATATTCATAAAAATATAATGAAGAACAGATAGTACAATAGACAGAAAGACAAAAGAATATTCTATTGTTAAAAAAATGCGGAACGTTTTCTTGTGGTTTGGTAATGGTTTTGTGGTTGCAGTGAACTTGGAGATTGTTCTCACAGCAAAAAACTAGGGTTAGTTTCCATAACAACACAATAAAAATAAACCAAAGTTTATTTTTTTTATAAAATTAAGGTATGTGGCCCACGTGAAATAAAAAAATACTAGGCAATCTGTAATAGTCAAATAGACACAAAAGAAAACAATGGAATTAGGGTCTACTAAAGTGTATTAGTCTAATATCTATTTCACAGGTTTCACGACTTCACTCTAAAGAGTATATAGAGTTATTGCACCATCGAGTGAAGGCAGCCATGTTAGATTACAGGAACAATACAAYCGTTTTACATGTGAAAATATTCACTTTCTGAGAGCAAGAGGCTTCATTTTTCTGCCATCTAGCCACAGGCAGCCCAAGCTGTGTTATGGGTTTGGACACGTGATGGTGCAAATCCTCAATAGAATATCTTTTAATACTTAAACCAAGTTCAAGATTCGCTTATCTAAGTAAGATTGAATGCCAATGCCAAACCCATAGGGTTTGATGCATTGTGGTCTAGCTTCGATACAAACAACACCATATGAAGCATGATGATCAAAAGATTCAGATTTGTACCCAAGCTAGACCAGAATGCACCATGTTCGCTATCCCAGTTCTAGCTTTGCTGTACACCTATATAAGATATGATCAACTGCCTTCTATGTACCATGCCCTGATGTAGCTTTCCTGAACACCCATATAACTTATAAACAAAATATGTATTTACCCAAGACAGTATGTTCGCTCAGAAAGGTCTAATGTGGAGAAGCGCTCAATTATTATTTTTTTCATTATTTACGATAACATTAGTTTCCTTTTACTTTCTCTTATGTGATTTACATATATCTATTGCTTGAACAACAATTCTATTGGCCGTTCTAAAAATGCATTTCGAACAAATACAAATAAATATCTTTGCCAGGGATATACATACACCTACTTGCAAGAAGGTTGTCATACAAGAATAGAACATTTGTAATTCAGTAAATTAGTGATTTAGTAAATTCACCGATTAGGAATAAATTATCACTGACGTCAGACTCGAATTCATCAGTAAGAAAAAGATAATTTTGGACGACATGATGTAACTGGCATGCAGATGAAGATGTAATTTCAAAGCTAAAACGAAAATGAATAAATAAAAAATAAGACCAGTACTTGTTTTTGTACGTTTCTGCTTGTGTAACATTGTGGCTGTCATGCATGCAGTAAATAAATAGGTTGACATAGTAATGATACTAGAAGAATTACCCTTTAGACTGGGAAAGCTAACGGAACTAAAACTACGAATTCTAGCGCTGCCTGGCGTTTCTGATCTGTTAGCATGATCTGATTGGGTAACCCGAGTCTGACGTCAGCGATAATTCATTCTTAATCGGTAAATTTACTAAAATCACTAATTTACTAAATTACAAATGTTCTATTCTTGTATGGCAACCTTCTTGCAAGTAGGTGTATACTTTACTAAGGAACTACAGAATACCTTTTCAATTACTACTAATCCATGCAGTGAGAAACGCTTATCCACCGCGGGTTAAAAAGACATCAGTGAAAATATCCCAAAATTTCTCCTTTTAATTTGTGGTCATTTTTCTAAAAGGGGACTGGGACAGAGTATTTTAGATTTCATTGATTTATTACAATTGATAATACACTCAACAAAAATACTTGATTTTGATTGGACAAGAAGAGTACAATTAAATTCCAAATTGTACTCTGTAGAGTCCCAATCAAGTTGCTCAATTTTATTGAGCGTATTAAACAAAAAATCGCACAATCTCCTCGTCTAATTATARAGGCTCGTCCAATTTTGAAAACTTCAAAACATCACTCGTACCTATACATTTCAAATTCGTTCTCGAAATCGTGCGATTTCCTATACCAATGCGACGAGATGAGATGAAACCAGGAATCGGATCCGTCACCCCAGAGGYGAGAGGCGAGTGCACTACCGCTCCGCCACGTACCCTTGAATCAACACGGCGTTGCGTWGGCATGTCATTACTTATATCCAGGGATCCAAGGTCCTGCAAAMCCTTATCACATAAAGTGCAAACCTTTATCTTCAAACCTTCGATGGACTAACGGACACTCGGCCAGTTCTGACAAGGATTTTCTTCACGAATGTATATTTGTATTGGATAATTATATAGAAGTACGTAGCATCAGTTTTTTKATTGCACGTGACTTGTCACCATGGCTACCACGTTGCACATTTCTTTTCGGGATTCATGAAGGAGCCCAATGGACATTTAAAAACTTTRGAAAATTCTGGGAAGTTTTGGAGTGCACCGTTGACTCTGGAAAATGAAATGGAAATTGAATGGAATTTGCATAAGAAAGGTAGATGAGGGAAAGGATAGTATAACTTTAGAAGGGYSTGATGTTTTCYCATTTCAGACMACTTGTCATTCGATTYYCTTGAGAMTAAGATTATTTTATTGAGTTGTACCATCCACATTCATACGTCTTCTCATTCGCAACCGTTAAACAAAAAGATATTACTCTAGGGAATGACACGTGGTCTGAAATGGAAAAAYAGAGGGTTATGTCTACTTTTTTATCACATTTCAGATACGTGTCATTCTCTCGAGAATAAGATTCCTTGTTTGCGTTATATCTATATTCAAGTGTCTTCTCATGTGCAACCGTTAAACAAAGAAATTAATGGAATGTAGGAAAGCAGTGGGTTAGGTCTATTTGGGGGTGTGTGTGTGTTTTTTGTTGTTTTTTTTTCATTTCAGATTGACCACGTGTCATTCCCTTGAGAACAGGATTCTTCGTTTGAGTTGAATCCATATTCATGTGTCTTCTCATGTCCCACCGTTGAACAAAGCAATGATACTCAGTTGAATGAAATTTGATTAAAAAGCTAAAATCTCAGGAAATTCGCCGAAAGCAGAAAGCAGGTGGAATGAACTGGTCTTAACGAGAACGATATGGCGTCCCAAGGGCTATTTTRAATACCTTTTATATGATTTCTTTCTTACCTAAAGGGAGAAGGAGAATGAACGCTAAAAGCCTCGTATTCTTGAAAAAAAGGTTCCACGTTCTTGCACCACATCTGAAAATAGAGAAAACCAAAAGAAAACCCTGAATACAAATTTGTAGACAAAGAATATTCTTGAATAGACCTAAATTTTAACCTTGGGCTTAATCAGATTTTGGGGCCATTTCAGATCACGTATYATTTCCTAGAATATCATTTCTTTGCTTATCGGTTGCACACGGAATGCAACTCAATTTGGACGACATTACAAYAGGTTTCCCATTCTCGTGAKATTGAAATTATTTTGTTTTGCTGTCCAAATAATTTGAGTGCTTTAGTGCACATGCAACGCAAACAAATAACTTTAATCTTAAGAGAGTGACACGTGATCTGAAATRGTGTTACATTGTGGCCAGAATAAACAAAATACGTTTTTTTTTTCAATGCGCCACTCCGTACTTCATCTGCCGGTTTGCACAGTATTTTTCTTATAGTCTCGTTGGAATGCATAGAGCCAGGTTATCTTAGTACTTACTCTTGCAAAGCTAAGGAAGAAAACTTGTTCGTTGCTAAACARTGTCCCAGGAAGTCGTGGCTCGTCTCCGTTTACTTTTATCCAACTCTGATATGCCTTTTTAATGAGAAGAAGATAAGGAAGAAGAACGGTAAAGGAACAATATTATGTGAAGGCATTTTATATTATGGCATGTCGTAACGTGTACGCAATGTACTCATACGATAACCATTCTTATAGGAAGCCCGCATTTCAATGTCCTCAATGTTATGACATGTCGTTCTGTGTACATGCGTACGTCATGTGAAGCCATTTTATATTAAGGCATGTCGTAACGTGTACGTACTGTACGTTTCCCACTCATACGATAACCATTCTTATAGGAAGCCCGCATTTCAATGTCCTCAATGTTCTGGCATGTCGTACCGTGTACATGCGTAAGTCATTATCGCATGTTTCCTACGAAAATGCACTTCCACTCTGGAAGGAAGAAAGATGTTTGCGGGAGATAAAAATCTTACCTTGTAAGCTTCTCTTATTCCAACATTGTCTGCAATATTCTCAGCTAACGTACCCTCACCATCAACCTTTAACCGTGCAAAAACTAACATGAATTAGTAACAATATAAAATAAAAATCTATAGTACTATAGACCCCTTGCAGCACGTCGGAATGCAGCTCAATTTGGAGGACATAACAAAGAATAAATCTTGAACAAAGAAATGATACTCTAGGGAATGCATGACACGTGGTCTGAAATGGGAAAACATTATGTCAGAGCCGAAGAGGTCTATTGAGCTGCATTCCGACTTGCTGTCAGGGTCTATTGCGGGTTTTCAATCATTCGGCCCAAGGGAGGGAAATAAGTCTTTTGTTCGATTCAACCAAGATGGCGGCTATGACGTCATGTACAAAAAGAAAAAGAAGAAAAGGTCACTAAGTAATCACCGGATATAATCCTTCATAAAGGAAGTTGTTATACTGATCCACCAGGCATTTGGTTCGATTATTGTAATGCGCGAGAGTTTCRTCCGTCCACCATTGAACATTATTACCGTCCTTGTCAAAATTCTTCCCTGTATTAAAAGATAGCAAAAATCACTTATTTAAAAAATCTTCATCAGCTCGTACATCAAAAAGCAGAGACTCTCTAACTTTGAGTTTTTCTCCGGGTTCTCCAGTTTTCCTCCCTTAGGTCCCCAGATCGATCTGTGAGTTAGCCGTGACATGACTTAAACAAAACCAGAGGTTGTTTCAGGGTTCGGTCTGTCAGTTAGCCATGCCCTGACTTTGATCAACCCAGAGGTTGTTTCAGGGTTAGGTCTGTCAGTTAGCCGTGCCCTGACTTAGATCGGCTCAGAGGTTGTTTTAGGGTTCTATCTGTGAGTTAGTACTGCCCGGACTTTAATCAGCCCAGAGGTTGTTTCAGGGTTTGGTCTGTAAGTTAGCTGTGCCCTGACTTCGATCAGCCCAGAGGTTGTTTGAAGGTTTTCTTGTAGGCAAAGCACAAAGAATAGTTGCACCTTTTTTAAGGAAATAATTAAAGAGTTCTACTCAATACACAACTGATATAATGTACGCTAAAAATCAGGTTAAAATGAAATCTAAAACGGTGAYACTAGCCTACCTGAGACATCAAAGCCGTGTATCAGTTCGTGGCCAATGATGGCTCCAACGCCGCCAAAGCTAATTGCCCTAATCATAAGAAGACAAGAAATAAATAAGATAGTTTTTGGCTCGCATTTCAGTGAT